GACCGCCTGGATCTCGCCCAGGTCCCCGTCGAAGGCGGCGTCCAGCAGGCGGCCGCGGCGCTGCAACTCCTCCTGCCGCTCCCGCCGCGCCGCCTCCTCCTGCTCGCGCTGCCTTCGCGCAGCCTCCTGCTCCCGGCGCACCAGAGTCAGAAAGGCCTGCAAAGTGCCCGGTGCAAGGTCGGGGCACTGTCCCCGCCCCCAGCCCTGAGGGCACTGTCCCCGCCCCCAGTCCTGAGGGCACTGTCCCCCCCAAGCCCGGAGGACACTGGGTCCTCAGAGCTGAGGTCATCACCACACCTCTGAAACACTGGCTCTTGCTCTGAGGTCATGGCCCGACATCCGGAGCATCCACCCACAAACCCTGATACACGATTTCTCTTCCTCCAGCCCTGGCCCTCCGGTGTCATGACTGCTCCAGCCTCCTTACCTCCCTCTGCAGCTTCTCCATCTCCTCCAGGTACTCCTGCCTCTCCTGCTGTCGGCGGGCCAGCTCCTTTCTCGCCAGGAGCTGCCGAAAGGCACACTGGATGATAGTGGCCGCTTGGTCCTGGAAGGTTGGCCCTGGGGATGGGGAGATGGCTCATGTGGAAAACCCTCCTCCCCTCCAAACTGCCATTCATGCAGCTGCCAGGGGGCCTCTAACCAAGCCAGGTGTGCCCTGAGTGCCAGGAGCACACAAAGACTCCCTTTACCCAACAAAAGAACCAAAACTTTTCTCAGAACCCAAACATGCCAAGCCAGAATAATCAATCCACAGGAACCAAAGGAGGAGGCCTGTGGTGCAGCAGCCAAAGGTGCAGAGAGAGGCAGAAAGTGTCCCTCTCACCTCCAGGAACCCTGAAAATCCCCACTTAGCCTGCAGCTTAGGAAGACAAGGCTGCACTCTGTAGCACACTCTGAAGGAAGGCGAGAAGTGGCCTTGAGCAGAGAACTCCTAAACCCTCAGGACTTCCTCCTGTATTCAGGCCCCCTGATCACCCACAGGCTGGGGACTGGGCTAAGTGGGGTCTCCCCCAATCTGGAGAGGGTCTCAAGACACAGCCCTGCCGGATTCAGAGGAGGGAGTAGAGCCTACACCCCAACTGAACCCCTTTCTCACCAGACTTGGCCTTGCCCAGGCACCCACTTGGCCAAAGAAGAGGGCCTGGAAGCACCTTGCACAAAGGAGGGCAAGGAAGGCCAGCTGTGCAGTGGCAGAGGCCTCACACCAGCCCTACCACTCAGCAGCCTGGTGGAGTCAGGAGCTGGTCAGCCTCTCTGGGCCTCAGAGTCCCTTTCTCTACATGGAGTAATAGCAGTGACTTTCTAACCATCTAATGACGGAAGCTTGTCGATGGTGAGCCCAGGGCCTGAAACTGAATAAATGCACAACACATGGGCTGCCACTGTGGCTTGGCAAAGCAGGGAAGAGGAGGGCCTGGCATGCTGACTGTGGTTACTCTCAGGGCTGGGAGAGGCACAGCGTGTCTGGAAGACAGTTGAGGCTCTCAGGCCAGGAGGTAGAGGTACAGCCACGTGTCTGTAGCACCCATGCCCTGGAAGAACTGGGTACAAATGTGGAATCGATAAATCAAGATAGGTAAGATAAAGAATAGAGCCATAAAGGATAAGGAGACTCAGGGGAGCATGACTTGGCCCCCAAACCCCTGATGGCACTCAGAAGCAGCCAGAACCAGAGTGGCCAGGGGTGAGAGCACAGCAGGGGAGAGGCTGGGAAGAGTCACCTGATACCAGTTAGGAAAAGGAGACACAGAGAAGGGACAGAGACCCTAAAATCCTGTCGGGAGCCAAATGACGCCAGATGGCCGCCCATCCCCACTGTCTGGAGTATGCTAACCTTTATCAGATAAGGAGCTGCTTTTCCCTTATCAGACAAGGAGCTGTTCTTCCCAGAGAAGCCATAAAATGTTTCAGACACATCGTTTACATTCCCAGCAGGAGATTGATGCAAGCTCTA